CCTTGTTGCCTATCGAACCCAAACTGCTCTGGTAGTTCTCAAAGCTTTCCTGACTGGCTTGTATCTGTTCCTCGAGGTTTCGTCCCATTACATGCCTACTCTTCCCCAGGAAGCAAGCGTGCCACTGTTACTGTTCCTTGTGCACACACATCCCTCTGCTTTTGCTCATCCGTTCGTGAGGTTTTAATGACAGTAGCTACGGTACTACACTAGGTTCTAGGTTACAAACACGAATGAATAAACAGTCTCACTCCTTAAGGATTGCATGAGCTGGTGTATGACAAGCACAAGTGTCTGCAATATCATAAGGTAAGTGCAATAACAGAGTGATAAATAAGGTATAGAGTGGAAAAGAGAGGAAAAAATATGAAGACAAATTTTTGATGTCATTTTGTTCACATAACCAGACGCTATTATGGTTTGTAAATTACACGAAGGCAAAGACCTTTCTTTTTATTATGTAGGTACTTCAGAAGCATAGGTTGCAATAACTCACACTGAATAGCCCATCAGATTCTTCAGAGGTCACAAGGTATTCCTGATATTTCATTCTACACAGACAGTCGATGGTAGAACTAGATTTATTTTTCTAAATGTAAAACTACCATCTTGGTGTGGTTGGGACTACACTGGCTTAGAAATAAGGCAGCTTGAGCTTTAGTCCTGACTTGTTCCCTAATAAGCCATGTGACTTAGAACAAGACATTTCACCTCCTTAAGTGTCTAAAATGAGTAAGTTGGGCTAGATGTCCCTAACTTCTCCTGCTCTTACAATCTGTAATTCTCTGCATCAGCATTCCTTCAATAGACACAAACTAATAGAATCTACAGTGTGTATGTCACTAGACCTTGTGATATGTTTATGTCACAGACGTTCAAATCTCGTCGTCTCTAAGCTGGAGTTGGATGATTTCACAGCTACAATCAACTAAGGTGCTAACTCCCTAAGGTCAGCACACTGTGGCTTTACTTCCCTACTTCTTTAATCCTGGAGACACTGGCCTGGAAAGAGAGAAACTGCAGCTCTTTTTTTGACCATAGTCTTGGTCACACAGGCAAGCAGGAAACCACATCACCCTTGGCATGTTTATTGATAGTGAGACTCTGGAGTGACTGACTGAAGATTGAGACTGAGCTAACCTGACAGCTTGAGAGCTTAAAAGCATTGATTAGTGAATGTGCAAGAATCTGACCTTCCAACTGCCTCCATGTTGTGGTTTTGGTTTCTATAATAAGAGGTTAAAAAAAAAAAAAAAAAAGAGGACACCTTATTCTTTTATGCTTTGTAGTGATTATTCTACCCAAACAAAAAGGGACATGAATTAACAGAAACCCATGAGTATAATTTTAAGAATCTTACACACCAGGGACTATACTGAGGAGGATATACTCTAGGGATAGAGTTCCGTGTGTGTCCTCCGCACATATTCTCATATTAAACAACTCCGAAAGACTCCACTTCCAGTGAAGGGTGCACATACACTCTGCATTGTACTTACCATGCTGTCCATTGACAGATATTCATATTGCACTTTTTAATTAGGTGACAAAGCACTTTTCACATATATGGTAGTTGGTGCTAATGAAAATTTACATAAGGAACCAAAGGAAATTAAATAGATGTTAAGATTATCATTTTGCACATTTTCTTTTTATTTGTGGTAATAAAAAAGTGTGAATTGAAAATCTAAGGAAAGATAACTTTTTAAAAGTGAAATGCACTAAATAAAAAGGCATGTTTATAAATACAATAAAGTACCTGCGACATTTAATTTAGAGAATGTATAGCAATGGCAGTGACACATAATATTAACCGATCCTAACTCTGTAGGGTTGTGATGAATGGACTATAAAACATTTAATTAGGGCTTCCCTGGTGGCGCAGTGGTTGAGAGTCCGCCTGCCGGTGCAGGGGACACGGGTTCGTGCCCCAGTCCGGGAAGATCCCACATGCCGCGGAGCGGCTGGGCCCGTGAGCCATGGCCGCTGGGCCTGCGCGTCCGGAGCCTGTGCTCCGCAACGAGAGAGGCCACAACAGTGAGAGGCCCGCGTACTGCAAAAAAACATTTAATTAGTGTTGGTTATGCTTAAATGCTTTTTGTAAAATTAAATTCATGTTGTATAAAGGACTTGATGATAACGCCTTTAGCTGTTTTACTTGATGTTATAAATACAAATATGAGAAGAGGAGAAAACCACCAGGGAAAGGAACTCAAAAGTATTATGCACTTTATCTTTACCTGATCATTTGCAGTTTTCTGACACCCTTTATGACTGGCAAAGTTTATCAGATTTGTTTCAGTAAAGTCTACTGTTCTCAAAATCTCATGTATGTGAATAATTCCCTGTTCAATTTAACTGCTATTTTGCTTTCTATTCCTTGTTTTCTTTCTTAAATATATTTGAGAATATATGGTGCTTTTGTTAATGGGAAATGTTTGCAACTTTATTTTTCAGTCAAAAGAAACCATATAGGGCTTCCCTGGTGGCACAGTGGTTAAGAATCCGCCTGCCAATGTGGGGGACACGGGTTCGAGCCCTGGTCTGGGAAGATCCCACATGCCGTGGAGCAACTAAGCCCATGCACCACAGCTACTGAGCACACGTGTCACAACTACTGAAGCCCACATGTCTAGAGCCCGTGCTCCACAACAAGAGAAGTTGCCACAGTGAGAAGCCCACACACCACAAAAAAGACACAACACAGCCTAAAAGAAAGAAAAAAAAAAGAATAAATAAAACGAATAAATTTAAAAAAAGAAACCATATAAAGGATATAATTCATGTGATAAAGCAGGAGTCTTTTAGTAAACATTTACTCTTGAGTGTTACTTAAATACTCTTATAATAAGCTTTTTTGATAATAGACATATATATGACAACAACAATAACAAAAATCTGTGAACTCTCTGAAGCCTCTTCTGATTAATTGTATCATTTATTAAGAACTCCCTAGGAATTTACCTCTATGATGCTATTCAAAATTAAAATAGTCACACTCACAAATGTTTTATTTGTGTATGTATATGTTCTCATGTCTTCCAAAGTGACATAGTTCTCAAGGAATAATTCTACTTTCTCATTCTAATTTTCATTTATACCCCCAATCAACTAGCACAGTATTTCATATTTAACAAGCATTTGATCATCATATTTAAAATCATCATAATGAGAACCTACTGTACAACATACGGAACTCTACTCAATACTCTGTGGTGATCTAAATGGGAAGGAAATCTAAAAAAGAGCAGATATATGTATATGTATGACTGATTCACTTTGCTGTACAGCAAGAAACTAACACAACATTGTAAAGCAACTATACTCCAATAAAAATTAATAAAAAACAAATAAAGTAAAATAAAATAAAATAATCATATTAACCAAACCTTATTGGAGCTGGCATGTCTTTGATTATATTCATTCCCTAACAAAATGAACGGTGTCACTGATACCAAAAATATCAATAAATACAATTCTTTATTTTTAAAAAAACTCACACAATATTAAGAAATACAAATTCTTCATTAAAAAAGCATTTTTTTTTTTATGAAGGAAAAGAAAGAGTAGAGCTTGGGGTCATTGACTCATTTTTTAGATCATCTGTCTGCCACATTTGTTAAGTTGCTTACTTTTTATTGTTACTGTAACCATGAATTATAGATATCTTATAAATAAACATGTGTGAAAAAAGAATTGATTTACTGTCAATGATTTATCAATTTTATAAGTATGTGAGCACTTCTGAGTAACTACCACTTATGGGAGACAAAGCTTTGCCTTTATGAAATTCAACATCTACGTGGTGTGACTATATACACTACAGGAACTATGTCTTTATCTATTTATTCGTCTACTTAATATATACACCAAACTTATAGCTGGCCAAGCTGCTGAATAAATCATCAAAATAAAGTATGACTTACTGTAGCAGTTTTAAAACACATTTTGAAATATATAGCAGTGAATAAGAATAACAAGGAAATGTTCTGCTGACTTTGAGAGAAAATATTGCATTTTGTTCTTCTTCACATTCTCAAGAGCAACTAGCCTTGCCTTATACATAGTAGATGCTCAATAAACATATGGTGGATGAATTCCTGACCATATAGACACAGAGGGGCACGTAACATGAATTATGGAATAGAAACACAGGAGATTGAGAGAGGATGGTAAAAAGTCTGTTTTGCAGTGATTTCTCATTAATGAGGATGCTAGCCCTCTACTGACTACTTAGCAGGAGACCATATGATCTGCTCTCTGCAGCCAGCTTATTGATTATGTGGGTCAATGTAATCTGATGCATAAAGAACCGAGAAAGTGGAAGGTGGCATTTTCCTAGATAAATGGTAAGAAGCAGCTCGTTTACATTTTCATGCACTAAGGCTCAGTAGCTCCCACATAGAGTTGAATTATTCATAAAAGCAATCCTAAAACTGACAATTCCTTCTTTATTAATAGATATGATCCTAGCAAAAGATTAGATTAAAAAAATGCACGAGGACATCTTAAAGATAGAATCTGTAGGAGCATGAAGTAAAAGCTGCTTTTCCCTTTTTTATTTAGACTATCTGTGTTGTACACACACATATCAGGGTGTAGTTCTACGCTCTTAGATTATGGTGGTCCTTAGTTTCTATCTTCCTAGATACCCAACACCTAACCATTTTACTGCTAGTTAGTGCCCACACTAAATGCAAGTCAAAGTGATTAGCTCTGAGAAAAAACCAACAATAAAACAACATCCTCAATGCAAAACTTCCAAACTGACTGACCAACTAACAAAATCCCAGAAAAACAAATCCAAAATGCCAACACTTAATCCATAAAACAAATAAAAAATATTATTGAAGAGAATGAAACTATTGGATAAAAAAGAAGTTTGCATTAAATGACAGTTTTAGTATCTCCAGCAGAGTTCCTAACACAAACTCGGCACTCATAAATTGCTAGTTTCTTTTCTTTCAGCCCAGGAGAGAATGTGAAATGTGCAGTGTTACCTGCCAGAGAGGGTCTTTCTGCTCAGGGAAGAGCTCAAAGTACTTGTGGGCTAGTTGCACTGGAGGCAGAGTTTGCAATTTCAGGTTGGTCCAGCTCTGTGCGAAGTTGGCCAAGTTCACAAAGGTGTACAGCCCTAGGCGGTCATTCCCATAGTTTGACAAATGGGTCATGAAAATGCTGATCTGAAAAATAAATAAAAATGACCATAAATATCATACGCATATGCTCAAAAGTGGCATAGAAGCTCTAGGAAGTACTTCACCTAAACGCTGAATTTCATGAGAAGTACAATTATCATTTCAGGTGGGGTGTTATGGACGGAATTGTGTACACCTCACCCACATTCATATGTTGAAACTGTAACTCCCAATGTGACTGTATTCAAAGATAGGTTCTTTAAGGAGGTACTTAAGCTTAAGTGAAGTCATAAAGGTGGGACCCTAATCTGATAATTCTGATGCCCTTATAAAAACAGACAACACAGTGCATTCCCTCCCTCTCTCTTTCTCTTTCTCCCTCTCTCTCTGTCTCTTTCTTTCTCTATCCCTCCCCCGTGCAATGCACAGAAAAGAGGCCAATTGGGAACACAGCCAGAGGGTGGCTGTCTTTAAGTCAGGAAGAGAAGTCTCACCGGAAACTGAATTTTCTGGCACCTCGATCACGGACTTCTAGCCTCCAGAACTGTGAGAAAATAAATGTCCGTTGTTTAAACCACCCGGTCTGTGGTGTCTTATTATGGCAGCTTGCAAAGACTAATACAGGTAGAAAGCCACACATTTGATTTCTATTTCAAAGTCACTCTTAAGCTCACTCTTAAAATAAAAATTGAAATTGGGATTGGCATCCCCTCACTGCCCATTAAAAGTATAGTATTACTTTACATATCAGTTTTTTCCCCCATTGTGGAATCAAAACTATCAAATCCAATAATCTAATAACTCCCAACCTAGAGAAAAACCAGAATTAGACCAGTTCTAAAATTTAAAAAACTGTTCCAGACCTTTTTTGGTATAGATATGTATACAGGTTGAAATGAAATCAAACTCAAGAAAACTTGTTTGTTTTTATTTTGTGTGTGTGTGTGTGGTCTAATGACTCATGAGTATGAAACGTACAGTGTGGGGAATACAGTCAATAAATATTTAATATTTTTGTATGGTGATAGACGGTAACTAGACTTATCATGGTGGTCATTTTTAAATGTATAGAAATAATGAATCAATATATTGTGAACCAGGAACTAATATAGTGTGGTAGGCCAATTATACCTCAAAAACAAACAAACAAACAAATATACAAACTCATAGAAAAAGAGATCAGATCTGTGGCTACCAGAGCCGGTGGCGGGTAGTGGGTACTGGGGGAGGGGGAATTGGATGAAGGCAGTCAAAAGGTACAACCTTCCAGTTACAAGCTAAATAACTATGAGGGATGTGATGCACAATATGATAAAGATAATGAAAACTGCTCTATGTTATATATGAAAGTTGGTAAGAGAGGAAATTCTAAGTTCTCATCATAAGGAGAAAATATTTCTTTGCTAATTTCTTTTTTTTTTTTTTTTTTTTTTGCGGTACGCGGGCCTCTCACTGTTGTGGCCTCTCCCGTTGTGGAGCACAGGCTCTGGACGCGCAGGCTCAGTGGCCATGGCTCATGGGCCCAGCCGCTCCGCGGCATGTGGGATCTTCCCGGACTGGGGCACGAACCCGTGTCCCCTGCACCGGCAGGCGGACTCTCAACCACTGCGCCTCCAGGGAAGCCCTCTAATTTCTTTAATCCTGTATCTGTATAAAATGATGGATGGTCACTAAACTTATTGTGGTCATCATTTCATAATGTATGTTAAGTCAAATCATTGTGCTGTACACCTTAAACTTATACACTGCTGTATGTCAATTATATCTCAATAAAACTAGAAGAAAAAAATAATAGAGCATAAGAATTAAAAAAAACAACACTGTGATAAGGTAGTGTAAGTCAAAGGTATCAGGTTCATGGAATGCCCTTTACTAGAATGCTGAAAAGGATCCTCCGAGGAAAGTCCATTAAGATGATTAAAGATACTCCTCACCAAGGTTGAAGGTGGGGAAGAGAGTGGGAGAACTTGGCCTATTCCCCATAAATATCACCTAAAAAGTATATAGCGCTTACTATGTTCTAGGCATAAATCTAAGCCCTTTACTTGTATGAAATGATTAAGTCCTCACAACAATCTTATAAGGTAGGTACAGTTATTGTCCCCTTCTACAGATGAAGAAACTGAGGCACAGTGAAATAATTTGTTCAAGTTTCACATCTAGTCAATGGCAGAGCAGAATTTAAAACCTAGGCAAATCTGACACATGATATATCTGAAACCTTCACCCAAATAGTTTTATGTATAGAGTTTGACATCCATCATTGTTTTCCATTAGCCGTTTTGAAAATAAAAGACAAAGAATATCTATTTATAGAAGAAAGTGGAAAATTTATGTATTATCTTGGCAACTTAAAGTCTTTTTTTTTTAAATCAGAATGACAGAACATAAATTATTTTTGGAATCTTACATGAAAACTTTTCAGACAACGATTTATAATATTTGAAAAGAATTTTACTGACAGACTGCAAATTTATCTTTGAAGGCAGTATCACTCCTATCATATTTCCAGTCCATTTCCACCCCCCCTCCCCAGGGTATATTCAAAGCTTTTTATTCTGAAGGTCCAAAAAAGAGAAAAGCTATTTTAAAGAATATTCTTTACGTAGCTTGTTTGGATAGAAATTTAAATTAAAGCCCTCAAATGCTAGTTGATACAATGATCTTAAGATTCATGTGGAATCACTTGAACAGGCTCAGGGTAACTATGTCACTGATTTTTACATTGGCCAAACTCTCCCTCACTCTTAAGCTCTTTTTCTTCTTTTCAAATAGGAAGTGCCCGCTTGGCAGGACTTTAATTATAGAGTTTTTAGAATTTAACATAGTATCATACTTGATGACCATATAATTGCTATCGTTGTCATGAGAACTTCTTTGCAATCACCACAAAATAATATGCATTTGATCCCAATAAGTATGCATTTATCTCATGTTGCTACTGTAATTAAGAAATAAGACAGTGTAAGCCGTGTTCTCCATGATAATTATAGTTTCTTGGGACTGAAAAACCCGGCTAGCACCTGAATGCCTGAAGAAGTACAGTAACGTCCTAGAAATCTGCCACCTGCCCTCTAGCACTGTCATTTTAAGATGGAACTTTAAGGCACCTGTAAGTGTCTAAAATCTGACAAAATTGTAAATAAAAATACTACTTGAAGAATACTGTAAAAATTATTTTTATATCATGGGCAGATGTATACCATTTTGTTAGGGTATTGCCATAATGCTTCTAAATGATTTTGTGGCCCACTAATTCTAAGTCATTTATCCAGAATCTCTTTAGGAGAACAAGCCTTGCTTTCTGAAGGAAGTATAACACTGATGCAGGGCAAACGGAAAATCCACCTTTGGAAGAAAACAGGGTCTGGAGATGTTGCATGGTTCTAAGCTGAGGCATGCTTCTGCATTTAAATGTTCCTTTGCCAAGAAAAAAGATGAGCACCCTGGCCACAGCAGTTGAAATCACTGTGTACAGGGTAGCATGTGTACATGCTTTACTGGTTAGAAATATATTAGTGCTGGTACATGGTCAATTGACTGCACTTTCAGAAGAAAGATTCTGCAAGCACAGCTTAACTGTGCATATCTGACTTGCTAAAGGCAGCTATTGTGCAGACAGAACATTTTAGTTTTAGTATTTCTGGCCACATGGCTTGTTTATAAAAAGAAAAAGCAAAACCTATTCAGAGAGTGTAGGAAGAATAAGACAAATTAAGAATGGATGTGGTTTGAAGCATAAATAAGGGAAGTGGAAAGAAATGCAGTATGAAATATTTACAAATAATTTTTCACAGACATAGTATATTGCTATTATTTTTTATATGACAGTGTACGTTCCCCCACTTATTCTGTGCTATTATATATTTATTTATTTTGATTGTTATTTCCTTAAGGATACAGTAAGACTATTCTGGCTCAATACTCCCCAAAGCATCATCTAGAAAAGGTATGTCTGTGCTACATTGGTGCAAATGGTTTGCAGATGCAAACCCACTGTACCTTGAAATATTGCAGCTCAGAGATCTGCATGGATTCAGACAAGCAGCAGTTTACCTCTCACATGATAAAGATGGGCAATGACACCATGTTTGATGGATGAGTTTAAGAATAAGATATAAAATGCTAATGTCAGCAGGCCACCTGCAACAGGCCTTCCAGAGGGGTCACCGAGGTCGGGCTTCTAACACCAAGCTGGCCTCTGGGCTGCCCGCCACCTTGTCATTGATGCTGCTACATATGCCCCCTCCTCAACTCTCAACGCTCTCAACTCCATTATAACCGAACAAGAAACAAATCTACATTTTACCTTTTACCTGTTGTAAAAATTAAAAACCAATCTTGAAGGCACTCTCATAGTCTAATTATTCATTAAAAATATATAACAGCATTTCTCAATGTCAGATGCAATATGCATGCACTAAATTTAGGAAGATCATTTACCTGTGGAATAAATCCATTTAATGATATGTCTAGAGTCCAAGGAAAAAGGAGGTTTTAAATAAAGTGATGTATAAGTCTTGATAATAGGGAATTGCATAAAAATAATGGAACTCTAAGGATAATCTTTAAATGTGGGTAAAAGCACTGCCTGTTGTAGAGACAAACAGGATAGTATCAATATTATGTAAATGTGGGCAAGTGGCTGTTCTGAGTCTTTAGCTGCAAGTCATACAATTGTTTTGTATAGCATTTTACTTTGCCTCTCTTACTAAGTAGAAAGGATAAAGGAAAAAGGGAAAAATAAAATAAAAAACAAAGGTTTTATTTTATCCAGAAAATGAAGCATCAACCCTCTCTAAATTGAGCTAAAATATTTTCAGACTGCCAATACCAGAATAATTTTCTGGCTTTTCCTACTTTTATGACAAGCACAATGTCATTGTAAATTGTATGGATATTAATATCCATAACCAGAATATCAAGTATAGTATCTTAAATTAGAATTTAAAATCTTTTTAGAGCATGTATTCTTATTTAAAGTACACATTAAAATCTGGATATCAGTTCTGTGCCTTATAGTGCCTCTAAAAATGAAATCATTT